AGTTCACATTAACCCCTCCCATCTCCTGAAAGAGTGACCGCCGTCATCAGTTATACACACACTGCAAATATTACTACCTGCAATAATTTTGTTGCCATTCACAATGGGGAGGAAGTTTCTTTAATGGTTCTCATGAAAACATCTGGAAAAACTATAACCCAAGGGGCCCTTGTAACACGGACACAAATCACATGCATTTCACGAGGGATAAGTCCCAACAGCATCCAACTTCATCAAAAGGAGAATTATGGGGCGAGCATTCAAGCCAAACTATGACACTGAAGCGGTCACAGGTCGGCTCTATTGATCGGGAAGTCAGCAATCACATACCACCGATCGCGGACTTCCTGATCCTCTCCATGCAGAGAGCAGTCACAGCTCCCTGCAGGGATTCCCCCCTCCTCTCCGATCCCCCAGTGCTGACTGGAGGAACAAACAGTGAGGGGGTGGGAACAGCTGGCTCTGCCTCTGTCAATTAGCCAGCAGGGTGGATCTCAACGGTATTGTCAGGATCCATCCATCAGTGCAGCTCTGCGCTGTCAGCATATAGAGGGCAATGGCGTGCTATATGCTGAATTTTGGGTCACTGGAGGACATTAGTATACGTCCTCCTGTGACTCTAAAGAGAACTATGGCCGAAAAAGGTTAGGCCATAGTTCTCCTTTAAGTCTGCATTCACACTTTTCTGGTACGACGTTGATGTGCCTTGCATTTAAAAAAAAAAAGGAGCCGATTCATTCGCATGAAATCCCTATGTACCAAAAAAAGCGCATGCAAAAATCAATTTTTTTGCAGTGTATTACACTACAATGCATAGTGCACTGCAACGCACATACATGGGTGAGGAGCATTGGGGGTGCGGTTAAAAGGAGAAGTGCACTTTAAAACAAAGTGCAATTTTCCTTTTGCCCTGACCCAACCCACTCTCTCGCTCTACGGATATATACCTGGCATGAACCAATGGCTGTGGCCACCAGTGACGGTTTACATTCTGGCCGTGCCTGCCCAATAGAGCCCTATAGAATTCTATGAGCCAGCATCTGGAGGCCAGGGACTAAGTGAAGCAAAGGGCTGAAAAGGATAACTGCACTTCGGTTTAAAACTCTCCAGACACACGACCGCAATACTGACAGGGGTTCCAACACCCCTCTTCTATATCCAGATACTATAGTTTTACATATACACCATAAAGTTTAATTGTTTAACCCCTAGCCAATGGTCACCGAGACCACCTGCTTACACGTTTTATATGTAATGGATGTGATCCCTCCTATTCATCTCATAACTGGTGACAATGATTGGGGTCGTCATTGTCATCACTCTGCGCAGCGTCTCAGGAAACCATTCCTTTTTTTTATGCCTCAATTAGGAACCCGTCTGGGCTCGGGAGGAGAGAGGTGGATCGAACTTACTTTAGCCTCTTTGTGCTGAACAATCCTGTGATTTGATTCCCAAAATACAGGAGAGGTAGTGGAAAAGTCTGAAATAAAAACAAACAGATAGAATTGGGGCATTAAAGGGCCGGTAATGACAAAATACAAAATAGGAGAAGATCTACTTGTAACATTTGTAATCCTGATCACATTCCCATGTGTGTATTGTACTTATGAAAGTAATAGAACACGTATCAGTGTATGTTATATGTCACATTTGGATTTATATATTGTGTGTACATAAGGGAAGAGATTACTTGTGCAGCAAAACACACCTTGGGAGTTTCAATGTTTTATTGTAACAGAACATTGAAATCAGAGGATTGGATTACTGTATTTTTCCGTGTATAAGACTATACTTTTTCTTAAAAATATTTACCTAAAAATGGAGGGGCGTCTTATACACGGGGGGCCGAGAGGAGAACCGCGTTTGCCAAACTGCCGATACCTCTGCAAACTAGCCTCACGAGTGAAACTTCCGATTGCAGAGACAAGCTAACAGGTTTCCTCCAATCATGAGCCTTATGTACCCGACGTCAGCTGATGCTGCGGGGAGCGTGTAGCCAGTGGCCATAAAAATGTCAGAAAACAAAAAAATACCGGTACCAGGAAGCGGCTGTCTTACTCTGCAAAATTTAAACTGGATGTAATCAGTTATGCAAAAGAGTATGTAAAAAAATGGATTTCTGAATTTTGGGTAAGAAAAGTGTGGGGGGGGGGGGGGGGCGTCCTATACACATGGGAGCGTCTTATAGACGGAAAAATACGGTATATTTGTCACTTCAACAGAAAAAGACTGACAGTGACACACACAAAAGCAATCAGACTAACAGAAGTGAATAAGCAGCGAGGAATCCCGTCAGCCTGCAGGTGACAATTTTACACCCACACCCCGATTTGTATCGCCCGTCTGTCATAGGAGGCGAATTATTCTCTAGCTCACCCAAGTTTCAGAATTGTACATAAATCCGGGTTGTGTACAGTACAACCAGACACAATCACAGCAGCCACGTCCTGAATCCGGACGGCTCCCGCTTCACAACCAACATGAAACTCTATCTCCCGTTCTAAATTTACAAGGCTGCAAATTCCGTCTTATTTCGGCTTTGTACGGCACGTCTGGAAATAATCCCATCAGGAATAACAGGCCTGGCACACGGGGGACACAATACATCCTCCCATCGCTCTGGAGAGTTGGGGCCTGGAAGCAGGATCCCATTATTTTTGCTCGGTACAATGATGTAATAGCAGTGCCGATCTTTGATCCGAGTATTGGAAGTTCGCCTTTGTTCACGTCTACCAGTCCGGTCAGAGACCGAAAATAAAAGTCTGATCTAACTGGTCTCATGTCTGCAATCATTTTGCAGGAATGCTGATTAATATTGTTGGGTTTTTTTTTTATTATCCTTATATTGATATTTATATTTGTGGGAAATCTATCAAAATTAAACAAAATGATAAAAAGGTTTTTAAAAACAAAAAAAAAGGTTAATAAAATGATATAGTATAGCTGCAAAAAAAAAAAAAAATGGGATACGATTTAAACAAGGGACATACATGGGGG